CGTTTCCCTCCCGTACCTGGTTTCTCGGCCTCATGCCACTCCATGGCACCACCCTCGGCAGGTTTTTGGACAGTTTGAGTAGATGATTCGCTCTCATCTGTTGCAGTGGTTGCGTCGTTTAAAACATCAGTGTCCTTTGCGCTCGTCAATTATTCTGCGGCCGCTTGCATACACGCAGGTTCACTTGTTTTTCCTGCTTCTCTCACATCCATCACGCCTCCTGTACTGAATGTTTTTTTCCGCAGAAGTCAACTGTGATTTTGCCGATGCATCCACGATAGGTTGCACTCTCTCACTGTCAGTTCACCTTGGCGGTTCTTTCTGCAGTCGAGTCATGCTTGCTGCACTAGGTGTTTTTTCTTCACAAGCCGTTTTTGCTTTTCACCGATTCTTCTGCTTCAGCCTCATCCATAAGTGAGCTCGGATTCATCCATGCTCCCGGTGCTCAGTGTAGCTGCTGAATGCGTCTTCGTGCAGTTCTCAGGGGCGTGTCCAAAACGCTTGCAAGTATCACACCGCGGGACTCGACAGTTCCTCCTAATGTGGCCAATCTGCTGGCAGCGCAAACACCGCGGTGCTCTTCAGGTTGCCACAATAAGTGCGAGCTCTCCTCCTACTCGTAACTGGTGAGGTATATCGTCCAGCGTAACGTTAGCCTTTAGTCGGAGCGTCACAGTTCTCGTCACGGTATTCTGCTGGGTGTAGCCGTCAATTTGCCACTTATCCATTCCTACGTCAAGCACTGTATCGTAGGGGGTCAGTGCATTTCGTACGTCCTCTTCTCGTACGTGGTAGAGCAACCAATGCAGCTTCAGACGGACGTCACCGTGGCTTGGGTCGATTATCATGCATTTGAGGCCTTTCATATTCAATTGCAGATCAGTTAAAAGTTCCTTTACACCTTCAGTGCTTCTGCACGTCACTGCCCACACGTGGTTTATTTGATAAGCACCGAGCGCAAGAACCTCGGTGGGCTGAACACGTCGAAAAAGTGGCTCGCGAAAGTCTTCCGCGTGATAAGGTCTTCCTTTTACATCCGCATGCAGAAAAACAGTGTTCTGAACCACATACCCATTCGGCAGAGGGGGCAAAATAACATCATAATCCTGGGGCATTTCAATCATGAAACCGCGGCTAAGCAGAGCCGCCGATGCCGCTCCTACGGAGCTCATCATACACACGTCTGCACGCTTTCGCAACCGGAAGTGGAATCCGAGCCACCGAGACTTATGTCTTTTAACGTTCAAACGGCAAGCTATTCATATCTACAACTTACCACCGTTGGTGGGCATCTCGGGGGGAGGGGATGCTAACGTGTTTTCAGCATTATCAGCAATATGGTGCCGTGAGCGCGCGGTGGCTCTCATCTCTCACGCGTACTTTGGCCTGCATTGAGAATAAGAGGGTGTGCACTTGATTGCGCACCCTTAGCTTGCAGTATGGATAATTGTACGTCTTGGCTAGCTTTTGAGTTTCGTCGGAACGATTCAGTTGTAGTTACCGGGTACCGAAAGGTCGCTGCAGTCGTTGCACAGCCTCCGTTTGCGAAAAGGGCGTGCTTTTGAGACACAGCCAAGTAACAACTAAGACGCTTATTGGCGTTAATATGTACCTGTGTGTACGTTTCGTGCGTCCTTCGCACGTGAGAAACACCGGGCACGTTTCGATTTGCTTGCCATTTTGCGCGTGACACTCTAATTTGTTGTTATCACATTCATTGCTTCGCCTTTGCGGCAAGGCTGTCACTTTTTTGACACAGCCCGCGTTTTCGTACTGGAGTCCATAGCCACACTAAGTTACCACAACTGTAGGTTACATGATGATGTAGACTATATACAGTATTTGTGAAGCCGGAGTACGCAATCAAGCGAGGCGCCGAGCCTCCTCCACGTGGCAGATGGTTTCCGCGATACATGTGTCGTTGCGATTACAGAGAGCAAAGATAGTGATTAAAGTTTACCTCAGTGGACAGGTGTAAAGATGCGAAAACGGGCTATATCCTGTGGTCTGACTCGGAACGGTAATATATGCAAACGTGAGGAATAATCAGTCATCCCAGCTTTTGTGGCCAGCGCTGACGTACGTGGACAGCACGTTTTATTCGTGCGTCAGGATGATAGGGCGTTGAATGTTGAAGATTTGAGTTGTGCATACGTTGTTCTTCGATCCCTTCAGCGGTGTGCAGACTACCACTATCACTAATGACCTTGCGAGGAGGAGCATGACGAAGTATTATTGAATTCAGTACAAACTTTGACAATTCACTTGCAGTTTCAGAGAGTAGCACTGCCATATCCCGAAACCGAGTCAGGTAGTCAGCGCATCAATAGCTGTCTCTGAATGAACGTGAGAATGCTCCTACTAAGTCGATGCTTATCTGTTCAAAGGGTGAGCTAGGTGGCACCACAGGTTTTAGGCAACCGGCTGGGGCTCTGGTAGCTTCCTTGTGGCTTTGGCATTTGACGCAGCTGGCTACACATGTCTCCCTTGTCTTGCGCATCTGAGGTCATTAAAATCTGTCCTTACCACGATGGAGTGTTTGCGTGTGTTCTGGGCGACCTGCCAATGGGTCATCGTTCAAGACGCGCAGTACACATGAGCAAAAGGCTTCTGGCACCCCGAAAAGAAAATGTGAAACTGTCGCGGAAAAATTCTTGTATAGCAAGATATCTTCAAGAGTAGTAGTGGTAAAAAACTTTATTAAGGCAACTGACGATTTCTTAAGTGGCAAGGGATGTGAGGCCATGCCTTATCGCCACGTCTTGTCAGCGCTTTTGATAGCCCAGAGCTGGGTTTCCAGACTAGCAGTGGTGAGGATTCTCTCTCAGGCCTCACTTGAAGGTGATTGTCTTAGGAGGTTTGGTGGGAGAAGGTCTTTGCTGCATCCCGAGATGATGTGGTCCAAGGTTGCAGTCTGTGTTTTGCGAAGGGTGCACATAGATGTGAATAAGGCTGGGTATACGCATGCGGGGAAGGGAAGGAGTTCATTTGAAGCTGCCGCCAAGTGATTTGTTGAGCTTTGTTTAAAAAAATGGCATGTCGTCAACGCTCTCACGGCACAAAAAGGGGCTATAAACTCTGATGTTTTCTGTGTTCTTTTGGGAAGGTTGTGACCTCTGGTCAATTCCTATCTACGGTTGCGAATAAATGGCCAAAGAAGTCAGCGCTAAATTCAGTTGCGTAAAGAGGCACTTTGGAAAGGCAGTTGGCTTCAGCATGCCGTTGCGCGCTCTTGCTGAAGAGAGTGAAACTGTGCTCCCGCAAACAGAGGACCCAACCGGTAAGGCGTCCTGACGAATCATTAAGATTGCCGAGTCAGCATAAGGAGTGATGGTTGGTGATGAGTGTAAAATCTCACTCAAAAAGGTCCAAGCACTGGTATTTCGCAAGTAATCTACACAAAATCACCAACTGCCATCTTCCTTCCTTTCTAGAATGACAAGTGCAGCCCAAGGGCTCGCAAACTCCTTAATTACTCCCTTCAGAAATATTTTTTAGGTTTGCTCGCCAATTATTTCACGTTCACCTGGTAATACGTAGTATGACTTCTATCGTATAGAGTTGGTGACCTTCTGTTGATACGATGACGAACTGGCATAGGGGACGTTTTATCATTTAGAGAGAAGACCAACACTTGCAAGTGCTCGGATAAAACACCCAGTAGCGTATGGCGCTCACTCGTCCGGAGTGACTTACCATCAGAAGTCGCTTTGATTCTGAAGGCCGGGGAAGGAGAGACACTTCTGCAGTGGCTTTGAATAAAGCGAGTAACGCATATGTTTCTTCCCTGAATAGCGCGACCTTCATGCCAGAAGTTGGAAGTATAGGCTAGGGCGTGTAATTCATCGTCAATCATCCGGAACGTGCAACTACCGGCACTAAGCAATCTGGAACCAAAACACTCTTCGGTACACTGGTCTAGTGGAGGGTTCCACTGTGCCATCAAATGTTCTAGAAACGGTGTCCGAGCAAATAGCAGGAGCTCAGAGGCTGAATTGTCTGGGCACTGTAACATCCTCTGCAACACAAACGATACTTTTTTGGCGTGCACAGCTTTCAACAAGTCTAGTCATAATTTCGTCGTTACCGTTAGTTTCCTATTTTTAGAGCCAAATATAGCACCATGCTTTCACGAGAAACCCTATGCCTAAAATTCCGTCACGCGTAGATTGAGGAAAAATGGTGAACCCCATAGTGAACACTTCGCGTCACAAACATATATATATACCGCATTCATCAACGTAAGCCCCGTAACAATATTGAGCTTCAGTAAAAGAGGGCTGATTATTTTTTATGTCTGAGTATGGATGTATTGTGGTGTATCAGTAGGCAGCTTCTTCGCCCACAATATGTTTAAGGTCTCACTCGGCCAACAATACGTTTTAGGTTAGTGCAGGATATAGTATGTGCACTAAATGCCCGCTACATCTATGAAATATTCGATATTATGAGCCAATAAGGCAGCAATAGGGCCTAGTTGGTACGTCTTCATACATGCGATGCGCTTCAAGGTAAGGAAAAAAATGAGATACGACACAGAGTGGTGCGCAATAATGCGCATGACTCTGTGTCATCTCTCCGGCTTTTTAGTTACCCTGCAACACATCATAAGCACAATTTAGGAGTTAGTTACGGTCACCCTTTCATTTTGTTATCAGAAATTTAACGACTCTCTTAAAAGATGCGCATTGATAAAAGGTGCGACTCTCTAAACGGGAATTAACATGTATCTTGAAAGCGGTAAATGTTTGACTAGGCAGTAGACGCCTAAACCGTGATGGGTACTCTATTTTCTGTTTATTTCTGCTTTTTTTGTACAGCGCCTTTCAGGTACAACGTCATATACCTCTTTATCTGCCGGTTTAACGCACGCTGTTAATTCCTCCGTAGAACGAAATCTTTGAATTTATACGGTTTAAGGCTTCACTAGGAATATGTGTAATTTGAGCTTGAAAAATAAAATTCTTCTGCGTGGTCGTAATGAAATGCTGTTTTTACAGGAGTGCTTCCTGGGTAATGACGACACTGATTAAAGTACGGCTGAATGAAGCAAACGAAAGGAATGGATGGTACCAGCAGAGAGCAATGAAAAAAAAAATGTGCCTTTTTTCACGGCAACCAGCGTTGCCGACGCAAGTAGAGCACGTGTTTTATCCAGTAGCTACATCCTTCTATAACCAATGAATATATTGCTATAAATTTTATACAAGATGAGGCAGCTCGTTCGGACTACCCTCTCCCTTTTCGAACCAATAAAACTTCAGAAAGAAACCGAAGGCAGCTTAACGCTGCTAATGCATTTTTTTGGCTGTGGTGGGACCAGACACGATGAAAGAAGCAGGAAACCAAGCGCAAATTAACATAGAAGTGTGGTGGTTTGGGCTAGTGGGTATGACATGACGACAGTTATAGCGCGAGAGCAGAACGATGACAAGGGGACACGAAAGAGACGAGCTCTTCTCCTTCGTGTTCCTTTGTCGTTGTTCTGTTCTCGCGCTACAACTATCGGCAAACGAACAACTCAGTTTGCTGAAGGATGAAATTCAGGTGTCTCCCACGCATCTATCTGTCTGTCTGTCTGTCTGTCTGTCTGTCTGTCTGTCTGTCTGTCTGTCTGTCTGTCTGTCTGTCTGTCTGTCTGTCTGTCTGTCTGTCTGGGTGTCTGTCTGTCTGTCTGTCTGTCTGTCTGTGCCTGTCTGTCTGTCTGTCTGTAAGTTACACTCGCCACATCGTTGTAGTGGGTACGGGTCATAATCACTGGAATTTTAAGCGAAACTATAATGTAAATTATATAGGGTCAAACAATTGTTGTATCAAAAATGCGTTCACTGTCAAAGCAATTTTTCGAGTGCCACGATTCTTTGGGATTCAAAGTATACTTCTTTTTGTTCTCTGGGTGTGGATACACACACCTTGCCATTTTTGTCTACTAAAAAGAAGGTGTGCACTTTATTCAAAAATAGCTGCTCACGCTATTGACAGCTGCAAATACATTTTTAGGAACCACGCATGCAGAAGTAGAGATGCGTCAAGTTGTTTCTTCAAGAAATTCTTCCAGTCGAAATCACTTGTTATTTCGATGCCTACAATGATAAGTGACTGAGAAATAATTTCGTCTTTTTCAGGCTTTTCAAATGCATTCCATTTGCCTTTGCAGCCTTTTATATGTTTGTCCATCTGAAAATAACACTCATTAAGCGCTGACAATACCATCAGCTAAAGCTAAAAACGCAAAGCATTTTGCATTGATAGATTGCCATGGGTAGGTGCATTAAATAATGCTCTGCCGCAGAAAGTTTTCATACCTCTTTCACACGAGAAAGTTTAATGTCAATTTAGTCTAATGACCTTCGACAAATCGAATGACGCTAGGAGGCCTGTGGTGCTACACGAACAGATACAATGCTATTTGTAAATGATGGCAATTGCGATGTCGCTAAGACGGTACTGAACAAAAAACAGTCGCAGCGTGTGTAAAAATTATTATGTATACTAAGCGCTATAAAAAATTTTTCTACAAAAATGAAATTGAGGATGAAAGGGAAATATGCAGTTTTTCTCAATATCCCAAGAAAATCTTGTAGCTCATGCGAAGTCGGGGCGAGACAAGAGACACTATCGCTCTTGGGTAAACAATCAATATGGTTGACATGGCGGAGTGCGAGAAAGCCGCTGCAACTTCTCGCACCCATCTGATAAGCAGCGTTGTTGGGGCGTGTTTCTCCCTTCATGCCAGGCATGTTAACCAAAAAAAGGCAGCTTTACATCGAAATCAAAGAACAGGCTAGTCGATCGCGAGGTATTGAAAAGTGGCTACAAACTTCAAAGGCTATAGCGTAAATACTGAGCGCGTGGCTGACATGGCCAACGTGGCCGGCGACCCTTTTGAGAATATGGCTGTGAACGAGAATATTGAAACTTTTTTAATGGCTCAGTTGAGGTGGGTGCAAATAAATTGAAGAATATTTAAAAATAAAACCATAATAATACTTGTTACTATTTACAAACTCTTTCAAATATAATCTGTTCACGTCCCTCTTCCAGCCAGAGTACATCATCGCGGCGAAAACTCATTCGAATGAGTTTGGTTAGCTCTTTCGTTTTCTGAAGTTTTCTGATCTGATGTTGTGGTGGTGTTGTTAATAGCCATCCCATACACACAGAGAGCAATGATTGCAGCGCTACTTATTGAACATTTGGTTAAGTGCATAAAAGAGAGAATCACTGACAGAAGCAATAAGGATATGCTACTGGCCGATACCTCACGTAGTGTATCTCTCGCAGACACCTGTGACTCAAGTGCACTGGAAACTGAGGCACATGGCACGCTTCAGAAATGACTGGTACCTGGACTGTTGTGTACAAAAGCAAGAAGCAAACAAACGATCATTTCGTCAGTTCACTCCATTCACGAGGGTGGCACACAGCTCTCCCTTGGTAGAGCACCTAGTGCTCTAAATCAATAACTACTTTACCTAAATATACGATAGGAACACGCAATACATAGAATAGGCAGTGCCTACTTTGCCCCATCAAGTGTGAACCTCACGGCTCTCAGCTCTCCCAAGGTAGAGAACAAAGTATTCTAAATTGTTGACAACTCTATTTAAACACATGCAGTCCAATTGATACGTTCAAAGCCTCAATGTCTTTCTGCGTGCTTGTGATAAGGACAGCTCACATTTTCCTCGTAGTTGAATACGAAGTACTAGAAATCGTTAAACACTAAATTCCTCAAGCTGTGCGTCATTTCCTCCTCTGTAGTAGCAGTAGTAACATGTAGCTACCTCTAGTTTAAGAATTGGTCAATAGATGGCATTGTGTGTACATGTGCTTGGGAAGAATGTCTCTAGACATCGTTAGCGGTTTTCGTATAGTTCACGGTTTCGTAAAGTTGACGGACGGATGGACGGCAGCCAGACAGGCAGACGAATAGATAGACAGACCGACACTGACAGACTAATAAACAGACGGACAGACAGACACACAGTCAGATGGACGTAAGCACGGATGGACTAACGCGCGAAAGAATGGACGGTAGCACAGATGTGCAAAGGGGCAAAAGCACGGACGGATGGAAGGACGGACGCACGGACGGATAGAAGCATGGTCCGAAGGAAACACAGATGGACAGCAGACGGAAGCATGGGTGGACGGACCAATGGAACCACGGATGGAGGGATGGACGAAAGCATAGATAGACGGACAGACGCAAGCACAGACGGACAGACGGACGCATGGATGCTCGCATGGATGGACGCTCGCATGGATGGACGCACGAATGAACGTGCGACTGACAATTTCAATGAAGCCCGTGAAAAACGTCTAATGCTTTGAATATTGATTCTCTGATACTGTTATATAAGTTATTGAGAGAGTATTGCATTGTATTGACGCTGCCTTTTATATAATCGTTTAAAACACTTCATAGCAAAACTGAAGTCTTGGATGTCATGATTATATTAATATCAATTATTTCTCTTTTGTTCTCCTTTACTTTTGTAAAGCGACCCCTGCCTGAGCCAACCTGGCCGGCATGTCGTGAAATATATACAAATAAATGAATAAATATATATGTAGAGGAAGGAGAGGCAAGACGGCGGTGACGAGCCCTTGCCGAGGTCACAAGTTTTTTCGGGGCGCAGGCGTAGGTGGAGTCACCGCTGCAGCGTCAAACCAGGTTCTGAAGCTAGGCCGTTCTGAAAATCTCTCGTAGCTCGCGCAACACCAGCCACGTGGCTCGCTTCTTTTTTGGCGCAGCTAGTTGGCGAAATCTAGCGTGGCGCTAAGTAGGCTTCGCTCCTCCCCCCACCTCTAGCGCTTTGCGCGATTTTAAGCATATGTACAAAAGGAAATGCAAAAGAGAGAGAAACTATGTGCATGAGCGACAGTCCGTAGATCGTCCTTGGGGAAGTCCGAGTCGTCAACGAGAAGAGACTATCAGGAACCAGTGGGTGTCGGGGGCGCGACACTGGGTGTCGGAGTGAGTATTGCAGGCAGAGGTGCCTTCAGGGTGAGATGAGGGTGGGTGCACAAAAGCCTATGCGGACTCTGCACGCTAAACAATAAGAAGTGGCGCAGTGAAGTCTTGCAGGCCACCCATCTATAAGCAACGGCTTGGATGGTGCTTTCGTTGGCTTGCACAGCGCTGACGCCGATGTCGACACGCAGGTGTCACGACTTTTGTGGTATCCGAGTATGTGTGGACTTGACTGCTTACATTGGCAGTAGTTAAGTAGCAATGTACACGTCGGGTAGAAGTGAATGACGTCTGCAACTTGTAAAAGGGCATGCCTAAATTCCAGTCACATGTCTACTGTTGCACAGTTTCCGTCAAGAACTCAGCAGGAGGCGTGTTATGGGAACGAACAGGTGTGGACTTTGAAGGAAATTCAGTGGACGCACCTTGAATTGGAGAAACACGTTCAGTAGTTGGCGCACATGAGTCCGTGCGCACGTCGGTATGGAAGATGGTTGCCTCTACAGCAAGTGTGACATGTGTGGTCTGCTCTCCCATAGGTGGACCAGGCACGTCTTCCTCAGAAGCGTCGGCCATAGTCACAGCGTCTCGGACGTTTGGCGATTGTTGATGGCTGGTATCTTTAACTTCGGCTGCGGAAGACTGCGAGGGCGATGCTGGTCGCTGCTGGCAGAACAGACAGGGCGTAGAGGTGGGAGGGGAGGCGCCTTCGGACATTGTCTACGCTGAAGCCTCCACAAACTAGGGCCGAATAGCGGGCGATACTGTGTTCGTAGTCTTGGCCGACTCCGGGGCATGCGGCGATGTAGCCGTCATGGAGCCTGACATGTCCGAGAAGTCTTGGTCTGTGGAGGTCGGAGTAGACGTGCAGGTGGCGAGAGTGCCTGAGGGACCACTGGCCGAGGACTTTGAAAAAGTGCAACTCGTGGCGTCCTGGCCGTTGGTGGTCAAAACTTCTTGAAGGACCTCGTCTGATCTCGTTGCTGACTGGTTGCATGCAGCACGAATGTGCTGAACCTCGTCGAATGGGCTGTCATACGCGGAAGTGGCGTAGCCAGTGGCTGGACGAGAGGTTGTAGGAGATGTAGTTGGGGAAGTTAGGTCCCGGTCACCATATGTAGAGGAAAGAGAGGTGAGAAGGTGGCGACAAGCCTGTGCCGAGGTCACAGGTTTATTCGGGATGCATGCGTAGGCGGAGTCACCGCTGCAGCTCAAACCAGGTTCTGAAGCTAGGCCGTTCTGAAATTTTCTCGTAGCTCGCACCACACAAGCCACGCGGCTCACTTGTTTTTCGGTGCGGC